TCCCTCTGCCTATGTCTCTGCCTCTCTCTCTCTCTGTGTGACTATCATAAATAAAAATAAAAAAAAAAAAAATAAGCCTCTCCTGAGTGTTAGGTCCGGCACACGATACTCAGTAAATGGTAGCTCTGCAAAATTTAGGGAATGTAGGAGATTTGAAAAGCATGCTGGAAAAAAAAAAAAAAGAAAAGAAAAGCATGCTGATGGTGAATTTAGGATTTTTTTTTTAATTTTAGTTTTTTATTCATGAGAGACAGAGGGCAGAGGGAGAAGCAGGCTCCCCACAGAGCCAGGAGCCTGATGCAAGACTCAGTCTCTGGATCCTGGGATCATGACCTGAGCCAAAGGCAGACACCTAACCGACTGAACCACCTGGCCATCCCAGGAACAGATTTTTTTTTTTTTAATATGTATTTAGGTGTACATGCATGGCTTTTCAGTATGGTTTTTCCAAAATAAGTAGATTCATTTCCTTGTTGTTGACAATCAAGTCCTATCTGGTGAGGTTTCATTTAAACCATCCCTGGAGTCTATGAATGTATTATTTTCCCATCTCCATGGGAAGCTTTCACGAACAGAGGAAACACCAGTTCCTGGGCGGGTCTCAGGAAACAGCCACAGCCTTTTGTGAGTCTGAATGTTTGGGCGAGGGGTTGCAGAGCAAGGGCTTTGAAAACTGCCCAGAGCAAGCATAGTGGCTTCGAGGTGGATAGTGACCTCGCACGTGAGTTTCCTGAGCTCTGGCTGTGTGCTAGGCACACGTCTGAGGTATGGACCTCACTCAGGGCCTCCCTGAACTGATGACATGGAGGCGTGCATGGCAGTGCAGCCCCCAGCAGTCCAGTGGGCATCTCTGGAGCTAAAGACACAGCAGAGCATCCACACAGAGTGACCCAGAGGTCTGGTGGGGTTGTGGAACAAGGCACACGATCTTGGGAAGAGATGAGGTTCATGATCTCCTCTAAGAAGACCTTCTAATAATTTCACTAACCTCAGAGTTATTTATAACAGCTTTGGAAGCTTTTGAGAGCCATATTTTTAAGAAAAAAGAAAGAAGATAATTTGACATACTAGTCAGTATTAGTAGCAAATGAGGAGTGAGGCATTTTCTCCTTATTTCCACCAGCCCTAGCAGGCTGTCCACGTCACCTCCAATCCTCCCCACCCTGTTAAGCTTGCCTCCCACCCTTTTTTTGTGTTTGTTTGATGCCGTGTTTATTCTTTTCTATTTTGTTTTATTTTAGCTTTCTTTATCCTGCCAGAATTGCTTCCTTCCTCACCACGCCAGGACTTAGATTATTTTGCATAAAACATCCCCTTTGGTGGTTGAGACACTAGTTACTAATTTTAAAAGTCTTCTGAGATCTTTAAATCGTTTTTTTTTCTTTTCTTTTGTTTTGTTTTAAGATTTTATTTATTTGACAGAAAAAAAAAAAGAGAGAAAGCACACAAGCAGGGAGAGTGGCAGAAGGAGAGGGAGAAGCAGACTCTCTGCTGAGCAGGGAGCCCAACATGGGGCTTGATCCCAGGACCCTGAGATCACAGCCTGAGCCAAAGGCAGACACTTTACTGACTGAGCCACCTAGGCACCCGTAAGATCTTTAAATCTTAAGAAAGCTTAATTATGCTTTTCAGGGACCTCATACAGTGTTTTTCAGCCTTTTTTTTTTTTTAAACTCAAGCCCTCCCAGCCACATTTTATGGTACCTCCCTTTCTGTAGCTTCTATTACAAAACAATAGGTGGATCTATGTGTGTGTTTTCTGGCTAGGGAATTATAGTATTGAATATTTCTTTTCACACTTAACATGTCTCTAATATTTCCCCCTATTTGTAGTATTCTGTTGGTCACCCTGTGACACCCTTCTGTCTTCTTTAAACGGTCACCTTCCGGGGATCCCTGGGTGGCGCAGCGATTTAGCGCCTGCCTTTGGCCCAGGGCGCGATCCTGGAGACCCGGAATCGAATCCCACATCGGGCTCCCGGTGCATGGAGCCTGCTTCTCCCTCTGCCTGTGTCTCTGCCTCTCTCTCTCTCTCTCTCTCATTGTGTGCCTATCATAAATTAAAAAAAAAAAAAAAAAGGTCACCTTCCCAAGGTCACCAGCCTTAAAAAGATAGAAGTAACGGTTCATTTGTCAGTTTATCCAATACTATATTACTAAACTTAGTTTAGTCTACACTAGACTAAACTAGTCCAGAAAAAGGCCTGGTCCTGATAGAATTACAGTCTGAGGGGGGAGACATGCAATAATAAACAAGTAAGCAGCAATATACGATTACAGATAAAGTAAGACAGAGGTACATGATCCTGCACAGGACACTAATCCCTTCATTTCTGAAATGCTGGCACGGGAGGCTGGATTTTGCTCGGCTTATGGTTACAGGACAACTCTGTGTTCGGATCGCTCCTGAAATCAGGTACACATACAACTTTGCTCAGAGACGCAGCCCCATTAGTGCCTTGTCTCTGGCAATTTTTGTTTGCAGACAGGATTTGGAACTGATGCAATGACTTAGTTGCACTGCATCAGAAGATCCCTAGGTGGTGGTAGAGATGAAAGTGCTGGAGAATCTCATCATCGTCTAATCTCTCTTCTCCGCGTATTTCCAAGAGGAAAGTCACACTTCCTAACACTGAGCATTTTCTGTTGTTGTCCGTGTTGTTCTCCCCCTGGGCTCAGCGCACAGAGCGCAGTCCTGGCTTTCAGGAATGGCAGTGTGAGACAGGCGAGCACCCTGCCAGGCCAGAGACCTTCACACCCCATGGCAGTGAAACCTTACACCCTCCGAACCCCCATACTCCTGCTTTCCTGACTGCAGATGGAGGCAATAATGAAAAAATCAAGGGGAATAGCATATATGAACACACTATCATTTTTAAAGATTTTTTTCATTTATTTTAGAGAGAGGGAACACATGTGAGCAGGAGGAGGAGCAGAGGGAGGAGGAGATAATGTACAGCAGAGCCCGCGCTGAGTGCAGAGCTCAATGCAGGGCTCGATCCCACGGTCCCAGAATCACAACCCGAGCCAAAAGTCAGGAGTCAGACCCTTAACTGACTGTGAGCCAAGCCACCAGGCACCCCATGAACGCATTTTTGAGAAGTACAAATCATCCTACAAATGCCAGGCTGCCATAACGGTCCCTTTATTGTTATAAGATCACTTCTGAAACTACATGACTGCATAACCAGGTGTTCATTTGGAGAAACAGTAAGGCTTCCATCAGACATCACATCAGTAGGACAGAGGGTAAACTGTAGAGCTCAGGCCATTTTATCCAAAAGCAGCTGGTGATCTTACTGAGATTGTCAGTGTTAATTCCAAGATGAGACCATCTTTGATTAAAAAAAAAAACCTGGGGAAAAAAAAAAAAAAAAGGGATCCCTGGGTGGCGCAGCGGTTTAGCGCCTGCCTTTGGCCCAGGGCGCGATCCTGGAGACCCGGGATCGAATCCCACGTCGGGCTCCCGGTGCATAGAGCCTGCTTCTCCCTCTGCCTGTGTCTCTGCCTCTCTCTCTCTCTCTCTCTCTCTGTGACTATCATAAAGAAATAAAAATTAAAAAAAAAAAAACCTGGGAGACCATCTTTGAGAATCACTGGTGTAAGTCAGCGTGGGTGCTGACCAGGAGTCGGTAATGGGAAATAATACCAAGGAAAGAAGCCAGCAGTAATTAAGCTTTTCTTTTATTTTTTTTTTTAAGATTTTATTTATTTATTTCTGAGACACAGGCAGAGGGAGAAGCAGGCCCCCTGCGGGGAACCCGATGTAGGACTCAATCCCAGGACCCCGGAATCATGACCTGAGCTAAAGGCAGATGCTCAACCACTGAACCACCCAGGTGCCCCAAGCTTTTGTTTTAATATACAGAATGTAAAAAGCTCTTTTGGAGCCTTTCTGGATCACCAGGTATCTACTATCCTGTGTTAAAATTTTGGTGTGACAGTGTTCTTAGCTTTTTTTGGTTTCTTTCCCTTTTTTTTTCCCCTTCTACTGCTTGCAGAAACAATTGTCCATGGACACAGTTACACCATGTACCTGGGAATACTCCGTAAAGAGAGATGCTTGTCACAGTGCCCAGCATATAGTGCTTGGCACACACCAACCACTTCAACGTCACTTCAGATAAACAAAACTAAGACCGTAATACTAATCCCATAACAGCTCTTGAAAACAAACTCCATTTTTTCCCTTAAAACGTTAGGTCAAAAAAGTCAAGTTTTGCAGTAGTGGTTTTGTGTGTGTGTGGAATATTACTCGGTACTGCCATCCCGTCTTTACCTCTGGAGAAAGTGGAGTCTTTTTTCAAATCTGTAGAAATCAATGTCTAATTTCTATGACTTTTTCAGGCTTCCGATAGGTGGTTTATGATTCCTGGAACTATTCAGAATTGAAGGAAGAAAGAGTTTGGGGATTTTTATTTTTTTTCCAAGTAATTCTTTACAGTGGATCCTTCGTTCTTGATAAAAAATCATTAAAAAAAAAAAAAAAAAAAAGAACTTCAGGCAAAATTTACCAAGTAAGAGAAAAAGTTGTAGCAGAGAGAAAGATCCTTTTCGGTGAATGCATCCATGTCTCACCCTGTGGCCCCCTGAAGGGTTAGCCCATCCTCTGTTCCTTCTCCACTGATTTTGCTGCCAGTGCTGTGGGCCCTTCTTTCTCAGTAGATTTTGTGATGCTCCCACTAAGTTCTTCATTTAAAATGTATGCTTTATTTTTCCTGTCGTACCTAAATGAAGATCTAAACCCAGTAGCATTCCATGTGATTGGCATTTCCTTAAAAGCACAAACTTCCCTTTCTTTTCATGTGATTTTTTTTTTTTTTACCAGGAATTTTGAAATCCCTCTTTGTGAGTTACTGAGTTGATGGAATTGGCCACGTCCAGCTTTGTGCTTCGTCTGCAAACCATACCACATTTGCTGTGTGGAAGTAACTGCATACTGGCTGTTCTGTCTATGAGACTGGGATTAACCTTCCTGCCCCATTCGATTTCCTTTCTAGGTCCAACTGGCCCACCTTCAACACTCCCTCTAAGCACCCAGACCTCTAGTGGCAGCTCCACCCTGTCCAAGAAGAGGCCTCCTCCCCCACCACCCGGACACAAGAGAACCCTATCCGACCCTCCCAGCCCACTACCTCACGGGCCCCCAAACAAAGGCGCAGTTCCTTGGGGTAAGTCATCCTAAAGTCAGGGCCACTGCTGCCCGGGCCAGGCAGTGCGTGGGGTACAGTGGGCAGTGGACACTTAGCACATCCAGCAGACGGGCCAGACTGCACACACGCCGGATGAGGGCTTGGCTACATTCGGTGTGATTGTATCTAAGGCCAAGAAACATCTTGGAAGATATTTAGGATCATTTAAAAACCAATCAATACTAAAATGCTGAGCATTTCCTGCACACCAGACACTGTGCTAATAAATCTCTCTCGCTCACAGTAGCAACTCTGTGCAATGGGTATTGTCAACCTCATTGACAGATGAGGAAATGGAGGCTCAGAAAAGCAAAGTAATCCTTTCTCACAACAGCCAGAATACAAATCAAAAGTTTTTCTCAACACATAAATCAGACATAGGCACTTCTCGCCTTTAAAACTTTCCTTTTGTGCTTTAGGGTGAACACCAGCTCCTTGGCCTGGGACCCAAAGGGCCTTGCAGGGTTGAGGGGCTGACTTTAGCTCCTGCCCTCCGCTCACGCCTCACTGCCTCTTCTTTCTCAAGCACACCAGGCCCTCCCTCCTGAGGCCGCTGCACTCCCTGCACTGTGGCCTTGCGCTTTGAGAGGCTGGCTCCCTTTTGTCCTTTTCTGCTGAAACATTTGTCTCCCGATCCCACTTTCTAAAGGAGCTTCCTCCCCCCTCCAGTTCCTTCATAGCACCTATCACTGTGGATCAGTACTCTGTTTGGCTTCTTGCTCTCTAGAATGTAAGCTCCAAGAGGGCAGGGACTCTGTCTGTCTTCTCTGTTGTGTTTGCAAGGCCTAGAATCAAGCCCGCGTATAGCAGGTCCTCAGTCGTCACTGCATGATAGGTAAATGTGCTCAGAATCAGTTAGTGGCATTGATTGCAGACGACAAAATATATCCACAAGGCTCATAATTTCCATCTTTACTACCTTTTTGTTGTTGTTGTTTTAATTTTATTTATTGGAGACAGAAAGCACAAGCAGGGGCAAGAGGGAGAAGCAGACTCCCCCAGTGAGCAGGGAGCCAGATGCGGGTCTCCATCCCAGGACCCTAAGATCATGACCTGAGCCAAAGGCAGGCGCTCAACCAACTGAGCCACCCAGGCACCCTCCCTCCCCATCTTTTCCTACTTTCTTAGTTCCCCAAAACTCTTCACTGGCCCACCACAATTTAGGGCAAAAGCCAAGAGTCTCCCCAGTGCCCAGCGGGGTCATGCCCATGACAGGCATGCAGAGAAAGAGAAGTTTTGCCCGAGGAATATGCTCATTTGCATGTGTCACCTCCTCCTACCAATGAGTTTCATTGCAGCTACTTTTTTCTTGGGTTTCTGATCGTAACTGACAGGTAATTGAGCTGAATGCATTACAGGGCCTCTTCTAAAGCCTGTGTTAAGGTGTTGTGAATCTTTGGAGTTTTTGGAAAAAGCCGTACTCACCCATTTGTGGGTTGGCACATGTCTGTCATCCCATCCAGCCACAGTGTCACAGTGTGCATGCGAACATGTCTGTGTGTTTGGCCATCCAGTCTGCATGCGTGTGTGCCTGTCACATGGGCCTCCTCAGTCCATCTGCTCAGGGAGCCCATGGCCTGGTGAGGGAGACAGACAGGCAACCCAGTGAGTGAGCACTGTTGACCGTTAGGGCTGACATGTTAACCACATGCTGTGGAAATGCTGAGAAAAAGTGTCAAACTGCAGGAGAAGTCTCCCCAGAGGAGGAGACATTTGTGGAGGGCGCTAACAAGTTAGTTACCTGGTGAGACAGGCCAGAGAAGAGCAATGGAGGGGCTGGCACGGGCACATACCAGTGTGTTCACTGCCCTTGACACGTCCACGGTTGGTCTCTGGAGCCTTCAGACGTCCCCAGGTTCATCCGAGAGGACGTTCCAAACCCAAACAACATTCTACTGAAGGTCACCCCCTGTGCAGGCTTTCATGCCGCAAATCATAAACTTAACCTTTTCACATTTCACTAAGCGCTGATGCTGTTGTTAATCGGTTTTTATTTCTGTGCAAAGTTTATAGCACCTATAGTCACCTCACAGGCTTGGTCGGTCTGCAGTGAATTATATGATATTTCTGTTTTCTGACTTAGAATCATCACTTTCTTTCACGTCGGTGAGCAGCAGGACTAGTAGCTACTGGTCTTTTTGTTTTGTTTTTTTGTGGGCCAGGGGCATTTTTCATTAAGAAAGGCACCACTTTGTGAGAATTAGTGCCACCAACAGGGAGCCTTCCGAAGACATGGGCCCCAAGCCATCTGCTGGCGGATCTCCCCGGCTAGAGCCTACCACCTACAACCAGAATCTGTCTGTGGCATAGTGACAGTTCGCCACGTCACAGACTTTGGTGGTCACTCACAAACAACCCTAAATAGTCATTCTGAGGCAGTCAGGGCCGTTTTCCTAAATAGTTGGTGTGTGTGCATATGTGAGATAGACTTCAAGGCCTGGTCTTTCCCTGCCTATCTCCCGCTGACATGGTGTTCCAGAAGCCAGAAGCAGGATCCAGACTGACTATTGCTCAAACACATAGGGAGTCAGATTCCTCAGCAACATTTATGATACCTACAGCTTCCCTCTGTGGACCTACCTTTAGGATCTGGGCCCAGGGTATGGAAACCAGCAGGAGGAGATGGTACAGGCACAGCCCCTTGGCTCTCCGGAGGTCTCACCTACCCATGACATGCCTGCCACGCTGAAGTACACCAGATTCCCAAACCACATTCTTTCCTCTATGATCTGAGTGTTTGCTCATACAGTGCCTCAGCCTGGAATATTCTACTCATTTGTATTAATGCTTAGCCATCCTTCAAGGTCTGCTCTCCAGAGACCCATTCAAGGAGCTTTCCCAGTCTAGCCACCACCACCCTCCCACTCTGGCCCCACTGGCACAGGGGGTTGCCATAGGGGTTGTGGGTGCATCTCTCTTTCCCAGGGCATTCTGAATTCCTTACAAGGGCTTGTGCTGTCTCTGTCTCAGAGCAGAGTGCTCCAGCGTGGACCCTGTGCCATACCCAGATTCTAATCCATCCCTACCACTTGGTAGCCCGGTTAGTGATTAAAAGTGGTAGCCGGCTTTTAGTGATTAATTTCAAATTGTTCCATACCTCAGTTTCTCTGACTATAAAATGGGGCTAGGCTAGTTAATAGTACTTAACTATTTTTTTTTTAAGTTTTGTTTAAATAATCTCTGTACTCAACATGGGGCTTGAACTCACAACCCCCCGAGATCAAGGGCCACATGCTTCCCCAGCTGAGGCAACCAGGCACCCCAGTACTTCATCTGATTCCTAACCACAGTTCCACAAAGTAGGCAATGCTGGGACCATAACTTTAAAGATACCAAGACACGGAAAGATTAAATCACCTGCCCACGTTCCCACGGCCAGTACTCAGGGAGCCAGGATTGGTCACCAGCCTGTGTGGCTGGGAGAGCCTGCCCTCTTCCCCCTCTCCATGCTCTGCTGGGCTCTCCATGTGATTGCTTGGTGATTCCTTGGCCATTTCCCCGTTGCAGCAATTATTTCTTTGCCCATGGAGCGAAGACAGGAGAAAGTAGCCGGGCAGCAAGGTACACTCCACCTGGCTTTGCCTCCTGGTCCATCTGTAGCATGGAGCCCTGTCGTGCAGGGAAGGCCACTCCAGGCTTTTTCCCTGCCAGCACCAGAGTCCACAGCACCCAAAATAGCCCAGGCATCACATTACTGAAGTCCCCCTATTGTGATGAATTCAGCCATCTGTCTCAGGAGACTAAAGCAGGCTTTTGATTAGAAAACAAATAGGCTTATGGGCAGATTTGGGTTTTATGGGGACTTTGATTTTTCAAGTGGTATGTCGTTAAACCTCACCACTGGAAATAAATAATTTGTTTATAACCTAATTTGTAGTAAGCCAACCCACATTTTAACACAATGTAAGTAAAATTAATTAAGAAATGAGGACAAAGGGAAAGTAAAGGTGACAAAGTAAGATAAAAGTCCAGGAGTGTGATCTCTTCACAAAATGTGTAACATAAGATCACATACAGAGGCTGGAAATAGACCACAGATTTGACACTGAAGTTTTTACAGGCAAGAGCAAAGGGAAGATACAACTAATTATCTAGTTTGTGGTGGCTGTGAGATTAACCCTCTTCTCACACTTGAGAATCTTATAATTAATACCTAAGAACAGCTTACCCCAGGACCTCCGTCCTTTGGTAGATATTCAGGAAGTCTCCTCGGTTTCTCACGAGAAGCCATAACATGCACTAGAAGAACATTCTGGAAGCCTGGGTTCTAGTTCCTAGTCCCAAGCTAAGTGACCTCTGGAAATCACTTACGTTCCTTCTCTTCGGTCATTGGGATTTAAAGTTGTTTAAGCTTTGAGCAGGCAATAGTTGAAAAAAACTATACCACAAATTGGTTCACTTCTCCTATTTCAAGGCCAGAACTTCAGGTGAAAAACTCAGTATTTGGAATGTCTGATCCAAGACACACGCATCTACTTACCGGAGCAGTATTAGTTTGTAAAAAAAAAAAAGCCTCTGGACAGAAATTTTTTTTGTTCCTCCATTTTCTTGGGTTTCCCCATATATTTTCATGTCAGGTCCCTGCCCCCCATCCCTCGCCCCCATTGTGCATGCAGTTCTAGAAATTAATACTGGCGACCACCATCTGTAGATGGTTTACCATGTACCAGGTGCTGTGCACTTGCTCCTCCATCATTGTATTTAGCCATCACAGCCATCTTGTAAGCTAGAGACTGTCAGTGTCTTCGTGTTACCGGTGAGGAAATTGAAGCACAGAGCACTCAAATACTTGTATAGAATTACAAATCTGGGATCCCTGGGTGGCGCAGTGGTTTAGCGCCTGCCTTTGGCCCAGGGCGCGATCCTGGATACCCGGGATTGAATCCCACATCGGGCTCCCGGTGCATGGAGCCTGCTTCTCCCTCTGCCTGTGTCTCTGCCTCTCTCTCTCTCTCTCTCTCTCTCTCTCTCTCTCTCTGTGTGTGACTATCATAAATAAAAATTAAAAATAAAAAAAAAAGAATCACAAATCTGGTGACTTTATTTTTATTTTTTTTAAAGATTTTATTTATTTATTCACGAGAGACACAGAGAGAGAGAGAGCAAGAGAGGCAGAGGCACAGGCAGAGGGAGAAGCAGGCTCCATGCAGGGAGCCTGACGTGGGACTCAATCCCGGGACCCCAGGATCACGCCCCGGGCTGAAGGCAGGCACTAAACCCGCTGAGCCACTCAGGGATCCACAAATCTGGTGACTTTAGAGCTGGTATCTGAACCCACTTGAGAATCCAGGGCTCGTGTATATATCCACTATTCCAGAAGATTCTTGGAGGCTATGTCATTCACTGCCAGACCAGTGTCATCCTCTCTGTCCATAAACCCTTGGCCTGAAGTTTCTGAGCTACAGCAGGTGACCCCAAGTCTTGACCACAGCTTTCTTCACCTGCCCACTCAGCGTCCGTCTCCAACTCTCTCTTACACACCTTTTATACGTAAGAGTCCTCTTTCAAGTTGCACGAAGATATAGAAACGGATTGAACTGCTTCCATGCTTTTGTGTCTCCCTTGAATACTACCCTTTCTTGAGAAGGTGTCCTAAGTCACACTTTCCTTTCCAGGCATGGCCCCACGGCCTTTGCCTTGCCATGAGATTGATGGGATTCCTGTCTGCAAACCACGGAGGCCTTGCCCCAGGTGTGGGAGAAATGAAGCTCTGGGCAGAGAAGCAGATGAGTCAGAGCCCTGACTTCATTCAGCAGAAACGTAGCGGCTGCTCTGTGCCAGAGCTTGGCCTAGCGACTAGGGTTACAGAGATGATCCAGGCTCAGGCCCTGTCTTTGAGATGCTCGCTCAGTGAGTAAATCATCATTTGTGTTACGTTCCATCGGAGAGCTATGAATAGTAGTTACCATTTGTATCGTGCTCTCTGTGGCCCAGCCCTGTGCTCTGCACTGCATAGTTTACCTTCTGTGATGCTCATACCCGTCTAGTGGAGTAGATACTGTTTTGTTCCTATTTTATAGATGAGGGGACTGGGGCTTAGTAGAAAAAGCACTGTAGTCCAAACTCATACCCACTGGGTGACGGTAGGGCTGGAGTTCAAAACCAGGGTTGTCTGGCTCCAAAATCTGCACCCTTAGCCAGTGCCCTGTGATGAATGGTTGTAGGCTAACAAGGAGGGAGTGGCCACGTCTGGCTAGGGAAGAATTCTCAGAAGGTGACTCTGGAGAGACACTTCGTAGGTTGCTTAGAAGTTCGCCACAAGTGGGAGGGGTTTGGGGCTGCAGAGAGAAGGGACAGAGGGGCAGAGCTTACGGAGCATAGAAACACAGCATCTTTGGAGATGGAGAGTCACCTCAAGTGGCCAGAGAGCAGGGTTAAATGAGGACATGGACATTTGGGCTGCAGTGTCAGGCCACAGACCCTGGCGTGATGGCTCATCCGCATGACAGCAGAGTGGGTGGCCTTCTACAACCCAAATGGTCTCATAGTTCGTCACGCACGTAAGAGGGTTAAGAATCACTGGTTTGGAATGTTTTCTACCTGGAAAGGGAATCAACAGATGCAGTAGTTTTACCCTACCAAAGAACTTTCTTTGACATTTTGATTGTTACGGCTCATCAAAGTCGGAAAGTGTGAGATCTGATAGCCAGTCCTAAAGACTCACACTGAGCACCGCGCTGAAAAGAAACGTCTACTCGAACAGCATTCAGAGCTCGGAGGATTCCGTGAGAGGCTGCCCCGGAGTCCGTCAGCATCCGTGACGGATCATGGAAATCTACCGATGGTTGGAAGGAGTGTCTTATTCAAATAAAGCTATATTTGTTGAAAATCGTTGGCCTTGGTAACACCAGTTTAGCTAGTTGCTTCTTGCAGCAATGTCCTCGAGTTATAGAAAGTTCTGTCCCAGGAGGCCCCGTCTTAGCCTTCCAGCAGCCTCTCCCTATCTGGGAGGTTCAATGGGACGAGCGGTGACAGAGGGGTGATTAGTACAGATCCTGGAGGCAGACCGCTTGGCTCTGTATCCCAGCTCTTGCCCCTACCAGCTACTTGACCTTGGGCTTGGTTGTACCACTTTGTGTGTTTCTTTATACACAACGTGGAGGGTAATTGTATTATGTACGTCATGGACCTGATTCCAGTGACGTACTTCCCCCCCCGGATGTCACTCCTAGTAAACCCTCAGTGAACGGTGGTGACTATTATCGACGTTCCCGTCCAGGGGTCAGGACTTCCAGGTATATCAGGTAGCCATGCGACCTGCAGCCACTGGTTCACTTAACTTTGTTTCCTCATCTTTAAAATGAGGATAATGAGACCAGCTCTTCATGTTGTTATGAGGAGGAAAAGCACTGGGGCCACTGTGGGTGCCGTGGAGCTGACCCACCGTGTAGGGCAGAGCTCAGAGCTTTGGCCAGTCCTGGCCTCTGCACCTGTCCTGCGGTTTCTGAGTCTCTTCAGTGGCACCCAGGGGATTCCGTGCGTGTCTAGGCAGGGGAGGAAGGGCCGTGCCTGGAGTTTCCACCGCAGGGTGGGCAAGGAAGCAAGCTAGAGCCCCAGAGGTAGCTGTGCCCTGCAGGTTCCAGGGAGGCCTACTGGCCGGCCGCCTGGCAGCTTGGGGCTCTGTTCCTCCCACCGTGGCATGGGTCACACAGGAGCCCCCTTGCTTCTCACCAGTCTTTCTGCCTTGTCCTGGTCAAAGACCGCGTGTGTGCTTTTGCTGCTCCCACATTAGAAAGTGCTTCACTGTTCAGGCGCCCCATCCCCCACAGAGGACCTGCCCTGCTGCTCTTACCAGTCAGGTTTGGACACTGTTTCCTTTTCGGAGCACCCATCCCTGTTCAACATGCACCCCACTCCACATTACTAGTCTAGTGTATACACGTGCATCTCCCAGGCCAGATCAGAAGCTCTGCACGAGCAGGGACATCTTACTTGCTTTTGTGCCTCTTGCTCTTATGTTCATGCCTTGCACACAGTAGATGCTTAATAAATGCTATTGTCTAAGTGAATGATGAAGTGCCTTAAGGTCCTGCCCCGCAGATGGCCAGTCATCAATCACCAGCCTGCTGAATAGTGTCCACACACACACAGTAGGTTGTGTGTTTCTTCTGAGCCTGGCTCCCAGGGCTGGGCTCCCAGGGCTGGTCTCCCGGCATGCCACCTCTGGGCGCATTAGAAGTTTTACTCTTCTTTCCTTGCACCCAAGCTAAGGACAAGATCCAGAGCCAACGGGACGTCCCCAAAGTCCTATAACCTTATAGGCCTTGCCTGGAAGCAGGCTGCTCATCTTTTCAGCATAGCCCTTGGAGAGCAAGAAAAACATCATCGTAGCCCCAACCAGTTTTGTTTTGAAGTTGCAAATGCATACTGTTCTCCCTGGAGTCTTTTAAATTCCTTTCTGGAACCAGAGGGGTGCCCATCTGCCAAATCCTCAACCCCCTCATTCCATTTCCCTGTCTGAAGATGCAACTTGACACCTGATTCTTCCCGTAGGTAACGATGTGGGTCCATCATCATCAAGTAAGACCGCAAACAAGTTCGAGGGACTGTCTCAGCAATCCAGGTAAGGCGCCTTCATGTTCCTGCTGCCACTGGGATCATAGCTGACCGTTCGGAATTCTAGAAGTGGGTTTTAGGGCAGCCCAGGTGGCTCAGCGGTTTAGCGCTGCCTTCGGCCCGGGGCTGGATCGTGGAGACCTGGGATCGAGCCCCCATCAGGCTTCCTGCATGGAGCCTGCTTTTCCCTCTCCCTGTGTCTCTGCCTCTCTTTCTCTCTCTCTGTGTGTCGCTCATGAATAAATAAAAATTTTAAAAAAATAAATAAGTGGGTTTTAGCGGCAGTCTGCTGGAAGTGTGGTCTGCCAGCTGATGCTGATAGCAAAGAGGACCTAACATTCGCTGTCCATATGCACCCGTCCCTGGTGGCCGGCCACCACGAGTCGCACCCATCCAGCTTCTCCTCCCATCAAGGTTTCCCGCAGGGCCAGACCTTATTTCTTGATGTCAGAGTCCATCAGAATGAGGTTTAATTTTTAATTTTTTTAAAAGATTTTATTTATTCATGAGAGACACAGAGGCAGAGGGAAAGGAAGGCTTCCTGCGGGGATCCCGGTGTGGGACTCAACCCCAGGGTCACAACCTGAGCCAAAGGCAGATACCCAACCACTGAGCCACCCAGGTGCCCCCTATTTTTAATTTGTTTAGAGAAATTGCTCTGTTTTGTTACTTTCCCTCTTGACTCCTTCTTGCTGTCTTGGGAATGAAAACAGTCCTCAGGGAAACCCGACAGCCCAGAGATTTTCAGACGTAAAAATATGACTCTTTCCAAGTGCCCTGTTTTGTAAGATTCTCTTAGGCATGACTAAAAGCAGCGACCCTTTCTTCCCTCCTTCCACGGAAATGGGATACTTGGGAAGATCTTCTATAGGCACCACGTAGCCAATCGCAGCGCAGAGGGTTTTCTCTAGAGGCACGATCCAAGATAAAGACACAAAGAGCCACTTCCAGTCCCCAAACCTCAGGGAGAGTCAGCTGGTATAGGGGGTTACTTTCCAGAGTTTATCAAAGAGTAAAACAAAGTCCTCATTTATTTTAATGCCACCGTCCTATTTAGTCTCAACTTTACAAGATAGGCCGATTACTGTTTCCTCAGTTTTGTAGATGAGAGAACAGCCCCGAGAGTTTGAGAGGTTAAGTGGTGGCAGATGTCAGAGCTGGACTCAGCCCAGTGTCCTCCAGACTCCAAGGCCCATAGTCCCCTTCCCTCACGTCCACCCACCCATTCCCACTCCATCCCCTCTCCAGCCTGCTCTGGGCAACTCACACTGCAGTTCTGGGGTCATCTTCCAGAGGGTGGGGGCATCTGATCACATGGAGAGTGCCCACAAAATGCTTTTTAAACAGAATCAAGCTGCATCCATGCACACAGCGGCAACCTTATGTTCCCTCCTGGGGAAGAAACCCAGGCCCGTGAGTGTTTGGTGCTGACCCAGGGCCTCTGTCGGGAATAACTGCCATGCTCACGTCAGGAATCGGCAGGTGTGCTTCCCTGAGAGCATGCCGAGCCTGGACGTGAGCAACACACGCTCCAGAGGCGTCCAAGGCAAGACTCTGTGTGTTCACCTTTTCCAGATTCGCAGCCCGGGGGCAGTAGGATTGCATGAGAGCTGAGGAGAAAGCAGTTAGGAGATGCATGTCATCTTCTTCTTTAACTTTGTTCTGTTTGTTTGGTTTGGCTTTCCCTCTGCTTTTTTTTTTTTTAAGATTTTATTTATTCATGATAGACACAGAGAGAGAGGCAGAGACACAGGCAGAGGGAGAAGCAGGCTCCATGCAGGGAGCCTGACGTGGGACTCGATCCCGGGTCTCCAGGATCGCGCCCTGGGCCAAAGTTAGGCGCCAAACCGTTGTGCCACCCGGGGATCCTTCCCTCTGCTTTTAAACGCAGTTAGGAGAGAAAGAGGGGAAAGCCAGTTCTTAGGACAGAAGAGGACAAATGAGAGATTCAGAGGGGCTCTTGGCACGTGGGACTCAGGTGCTCGGCTGCTGCTTCTCTTTGGGTCTGCACGCTCTGGCCTCCTCTGAGAATAGCTCCAGCCTCTTGCTAAGGGAGCCCTGTGGGTGCCAGCTAACAGGTGCCACCTGCAGTCCTGGCATTTGGATGATGGCAGGTGTGTGGGGAGGAACATTGGATGATTCAGAATACATGGGGTGAACTTCTATTCCCAACACTTGAGTGTTTTTCCCTACTCATTTTATAAGGGCCCCAAGAAGAGGGGAAGCTCAGGGAGAGAGCCCAGAGGTCTGAGAGCCCAAGCTGTCTACTCTGGTGCCATGGAGGACGCAAACCCCTGGCAATGAACAAAGCTGAGATATCAATTTATACCTCCTCCCCTTGGCCAGCCTTGGGACCCTGGGCTGAAATTCCCCAGACTTCAATTTCCCCGCCCGGAAGTGAGGGTGGCGAGAGTTAGGGTGAGAGACAGTAATCCCTCGAGGACACTGACTTCTGTGCTGCGCCCTGGGTCACGCGCTACCAGGCGCCAGGTGCTCTCAGACATTGCCTCTGAGGGCAAGTTTCAAGGGGAAGAAGTGGTAACTTCATCACTCACAGAGTTGACCTTTCCACCCTTCCCTGGGTCCTCCCCAGCCGGGCACATTTTGATCTGTGGAAAACAGACCGTCCTCTTTCATTAAAGGAATTTTGAAAGGGTTTTTAGAGAATTCATCAAACTCTTGTGATTTTTTTTTAATATGATATCACTAATGATATTGTAGCATCTTGAGATTCTAAATGCTTCTTATTTGTTAACCAGCACCGGTTCTGCAAAGACTGCCCTTGGTCCAAGAGTTCTTCCTAAACTACCTCAGAAAGGTAAGATTTCTCTTTCTCATGTTCATGTAACTAGACCGTCACTGTGCCCTCCAAGGGGACAGGTGCCTCCGTCTCTTTCGTACATGGCTTGATCCCAGATGCCTAAAGCAGTACCTGGCATGTCATAGATGCCCAATAAATATTTGTTCAGTGAAGAAAGAGATTTATAAACTCAAGTTTTGTGATTAGCAAAACACCATACTTTACGAAACAAAACCCAAAAAACTCACAGTCCTTTTCTAGAAGATATGTTATCATCCCTGGGTATGGGGATACCATTCCTTCCCAGAGAGACCTGGGAACCACCACCACCTCCACCCTCACTCGTATGGCCTGAGCAGAGGACTCGGAAGCTCCCCAAAGCCTCAGATTCCTCACCTCTAAACATGGGCAAGAATACCTGCTTCGTGAGGTTTTGTAAGGACGAAATGAGATCATGGCTTCAGAAAGCCCCTCGCTTTCTGGGGCACAGAAATCCTTCCCTGGGATGGCATCCATCATGCAAAGTAGAGATACTCGTGCTCTGAGAAGTACAAGAAAGCAGTGTCTGTGAATGCCGCTGCCTTGCCAAGCGAAGACACTCGGTTCTTTGACCAAATCTTCCTTGATCCTGATCGAGCTTTTCATCCGTATGACCAGCATGTCCGTTGTTTTATCTGCTCCCCCTCCTTTGTTGCCAGCTCCCCCTCGGGGGCTGAGAATACTACCCAGATGCCTTTGTTTCATTCCGTCCGTCCTCACTTAGGCCCACGAGGCCAGAGGGCCCACGTTGGGTGCAGGCGGAGGCTCAGGTCAAGATCTTTGACCCCAGAAGTCAAAGTTAGGACTCCGTGGTGGGAGGCTGGGATCCACCCCTCTCCCGAGGCCTTTGGCCAAGTGGCGTATTTGGAGGTGCACCTGCCAGGCTCCTGTACTATAGTACAGTGAGAGTCCGGTGGCTTCCAGTTCATTCTCCATGGAACACAGAGGAAGCTTCCCTGGATTTACTGAGTCTTTATCTCAGGTCATTGTTTTCTTCTTTTAACCTCAGCCCAAGATGCTGTCCTGGTCCCAGAGAAGCTTGAGGTGTTTCGGCAGCACTGCTCCCACTTATCTGTAGTCTGCCCAGATTCGAGCCTGTGCTCTTCCCGCATCGATTGCACGTTACCACCGATTCCTTCCACCTGCCTGCCCTGCTCCCTTCTAGCTCCCAAACCGCAGCCATCCTTAGCCCCACTGCCCCCACCCCACCCCGTGGCTGCTGCCTCCTTCTCACTGCTCCCAGCCCCCCGCCCCGCCCCAGCCAGCATCTCTCTTCTAACGCTCTCCATCCTGTTCCGTGCACCTCCTGTGTGGCTTCTGTTCACCTGACCAACCCTGGGCTGCTCCACACACTGGGACGTGCTAGAGAAGCACAGGACAGCAGCTCTGCTCTGCTTCCTGACCGCTGGGCTCACACGGGCCTCTGATGGTGCCTGGCACCCTCCATCTCTGGGATCCACTGACTCGTCACTGCCCTAGCCCTCCTCTCCTTCACACCTTCTCTGTGCTCCTAGAAACCTCACTTCTATTTTCTCAGGGAACAGGACGTAAGCCCATCCCCGTCCACCCTCACCGTCACGTGCCCCTGCCTGCCTGCACTTGTCCCCCCCAGAAAGCAGCTGGCCACGTCCTCGGGAGGACCCCATGCTGATGCATGAGCCCCACTCCCGGCCCTCCTGACTCGGGGACGGCGCCCTGACACACGCACCCCTCTTCACGGTGGCATTCTCGCTGAGCCATTCCACCAGAAGCAAGTGTGCTGTGAGCATCCCAGCAGGACCAGCTCCCTCCAACCACCACCTCATTGTACTGCTCCTTTTCTTTTCTCTTGCCTTTTTTTTTTTAACTGGTTTTGAAATTACCCATAAGCCTATATACAAAAATACTTTAAAACACAGAGTAGCCTCCTCCACCTCACCGCCAGAGGCTCATCACGCAGCTCCAGCAATGACCAGTTTATGCCTGAGCTGGTTTCGTCTGTCTCCCACCCCCAGCAGATGTGCACATCATACCACCTAGACGCGCTACGTACCATTATCACGTCTCAGACACTCTCGCATTTTAAAAATCCAACATTTCTTAATACCTTCAAATCCCCAGTTTACATTTCTGATTGTCTCATAAATACCCTTTCTTTTTTCCTTCCTTTAACAAATTGTTCAAATCAAGAGTGAATGAAACAAGGTCCAGCTGATGGGACAATTGGCGAGTTGGTCTCTTGTGTTTCTTAGGCTAACGGTCTCCCTGCATCTCTCCCCTTTTCTCATAGTTTATGTGTGGAAGGAACTGAGCTGTTCATCCTAGTAGATTTTTCCAGTTTGGGTTCTGCTGACCTCATCCCCATGTGATGGTTTAACATGCTCCTCTGTCCTCTGTGTCTCCTGTCAATCAGAAGTTGGATCTCCAGACCCAATCAGATACAAGTTCAGGCTTCAGCAAAACTGCTTCCTGGGCGGCGGTCGTGTGTTCTTCTCACAAGAGGTGGATGCCGTCTGGTTGTCTCTCTTTGTGTGAAGTGTGCAGCTGTTCGTGCTCAAAGCCAAGGCCCATCCATCCATCCCACGTTAGAATCACTGCACGAGGCCACTGGCCAGTGCTCGAGTATCGGCCCGGACTCTTACACGGCTCGTCTGCAGCAACCCCTTTTGTTGGGAATCTGGACCCGAGTCTTACAGGGTTTTTCTTCATTTGCTTCCTCCTCTTCAGTTGTGTGCTTAGAAGCCATTCTCAGGGGTAGAATGATCACGGCCAAGGGAAGAGCGTTTCAGTAGGCTGTACTCTGGGTGGTATTGCTTCGTATCCATTTCCTTCCACCCAGTCCTGTCTGCACACACCAGCTGCACCATAACCTCCCAGGTTTTTGTAAGGAGTGGGGGTCGGTCTGGGAATGCCCGTTCCTGTCTTGTTCTTTTTTTTTTTTTAAGATTTTATTTATTTATTCATGATAGTTACACAGACAGAGAGAGAGAGAGGCAGAGACACAGGCAGAGGGAGAAGCAGGCTCCCTGCAAGGAGCCCGACGTGGGATTCGATCCCGGGTCTCCAGGATCGCGCCCTGGGCCAAAGGCAGGCACTAAACCGCTGCGCCACCCAGGGATCCCCTCCTGTCTTGTTCTTAATGGGTCTCACTCCAGCGGTGTACTCCCTGTGGTCCAGTTTTGAGGGGAGAGTTTGCTGGTCATTCCTTCAGAGTTAAAAAAGCAGTTCGGAAAGGACTTTTCATTGGAGCCAGGGAAACACAAAACCAGCTTGGAAATAGAATAGCCAAAGGTTGGGCAAGCTTCCCTACAGGGGAAACTATTTTCTCATTTTGTTTCTGCCTATTATAATAGTATATGTATTCATTCTAGAAGATTTAAAAAATATACAATCAAAGAGAAGAAAAATACAAACCACCCGATTCTTTTATCACCCAACAGAAACACTTTCACTGTACTTTTTTTGTTTTAGGTTTTAAGTTACGGTGTGATGTTTTGTTTTGTTTTTAAGGTTTTATTTATTTATTCATGAGAGACACAGAGACAGAGGCAGAGACACAGGCAGAGGCTCCCTCCAGGGAGCCCGATGTGGGACTTGACCCCGGGATCACAACCTGAGCCAAAGGCAGATACTCAACCACTGAGCCAGCCAGGTGTCCCTGATTTGGTTTGGTTTAGTTTTGTTTTTTTTTATAGTAGATCAGAAGCATTTCCTGTAACAAATTGCATGCAGTCTGACTTTTCCTGGCTGCATAGTATTCTGTTGTCTGGTGACCTGAAGTCTTGGGCAGGCCCTGCCGTCCCGCCTCCACACGGCCTGCATGCAGCTTTTTCGGCTGTGAACGGTGCCGTGCTGAGCATTCAAGCACGAGCACCTCAGCCTGGCTTTGATCCTTTTTTACAGAATAAATTCTTTGAACTGGACGTGAATGTTTTGGGGTTCTCTCTGCCCAGCACCTACAGTTGCTGTTCCCCTGCCAGTGGCTCACAGCACGGCTCACCAGCCCCGCTGCCTCAGGGATTCCCCCAGCTTCCCCCATCACTGCCTGCCTCAGACATCCGTTTACCCAGTTGGCGATTTGCAAGAGAGGACGTTGACTTGCTTGAACTCTGAGCTGAGGCACATCAGCTGAAGTTCAGGGGCCAGCCCATGCGCTGGGACGTGGCCAAGCAGGCCATGAGCAGAAGCAGCCACAGTACAGCTTGTGACAGTTTGCAACACTGGGGTTCATCTTTCCTTTCCTTTTAATAAATTTGAAGAATATCTTTCTGAATATATCGTACTTCTAGAATGAAAGTCTTCGTTTGACTTGCTCACTGTGCCTTCTGTCAGCTGTCTCCTTGCAGGATGCATGCACTGTGCTTGGCCTCTGTACCAGGAGCCAGAGTTCCAAAAATAAGTAAAAATATGAATCCCGGCCCCAAAGAACCCTGCCTGACAGTAGAGATAATACTCTTATATGATGCTTAGAGCCTGTCAGGTCCTATTGGCAAATTTTTTACCTGTATTAACTCATATTTTAGAAATAAGGAAGGTGAGGCACAGAGAGGTTGTGTAATTTACCCAAGATCACACAGCAAGTTCAGTAAGTGGTGGAGCTTCACTTGGAGACATGTCCTTAGTGCCCTAGGTCCTACCGACAAAGCTGGCAAAAAGCCTTGGGAACGCTTCCACAACCTAGAATCCCCAAGCTGTGCAGAATTACACAGCCGTGGCCGTACAGAGAATAGAGAGGACCTGCCTAGGAAATCCTCCCAAACATATTGAGTAGGCAAGACACGAAGTTGCAGACAAAGTGTGTGTTGTAATCCGGTGTGTGGTTTCCTAAGTACGTGTGGTTGTATCACCAAAATGTAACAGAGGTTAGCTCAGGGGGTGGTGGGGAGGAGGCGAAAGGAGAGGCCTTTCACCATTTCTGTGGTATAGGGATCCTAGAGATGGGGGCATTCGTCACGAATCCTGCTACAGCTACAGAACAGAATGCAACACTAAAAATTATGTACTGCTGCTAGAGGAATTTTATTGACCTGGCATATGCCTGACTCTCGCTAAAGCGGTGTGCAGATAAAAGCAGATGAAAGTTTTACCTATGGAAAACACGTAGAAAAGTCCAGAAGGAAATACGGCACATTACCGTCAATGGCTACATTTAGGTGGCAGGCTTGTGGAAAACTTAACTCTATCCTAATTTTCTGTAACCTGTTTGTATTATAGTCTTTTTTTTTAATTCTGGATTAGTTTGGACATCCTGTTCTTATGTAACTGAGGCATGAAATCGCATACGGTCCCGTGGACGCCTTCTAGGCTTCCAACTTTCATCTTCTAAGAACGGGCACTGACTCTCCATCGGTCCTGCCGGTGACCGATGGAGGGGGCAGCACTTCCCCACCTCGGGGTCCCCTCTGGTGACCTTGCTCTCTGTGGTTGCTTCCCACAGTGGCACTAAGGAAAACAGAAACCAGCCATCACCTCTCCCTAGATAAAGCCAACATCCCGCCCGAGATCTTCCAGAAGTCATCGCAGTTGGCAGAGTTACCGCAGAAGCCACCACCTGGAGACCTGCCCCCGAAGCCCACAGAACTGGCTCCCAAGCCCCAAATTGGAGATTTGCCACCGAAGCCAGGAGAACTGCCCCCCAAGCCGCAGCTGGGCGACCTGCCACCCAAGCCCCAGCTGGCAGACTTACCTCCCAAGCCACAGATGAAGGACCTGCCTCCCAAACCGCAGCTGGGGGACCTGCTGGCGAAACCCCAGACCGGAGATGTCTCACCCAAGGCGCAGCAGCCCCCTGACGTCACGCAGAAGGCACCCCCGGCGGATCTCTCCCCAAATGTGCAGTCCCGAGACACCATCCAAAAGCAAGCATCTGAAGACTCCAATGACCTCACGCCCACTCTGCCAGAGACGCCCGTACCACTGCCCAGGAAAATCAATACGGTGGGTAGACATCAATTTTGAGGCTTTTGCAAAACTCCGCTGCTCTCCAAAACCTGGCGGGAGAGTATGTGCCCCAGCTAACACAGAAAAATCACGAGCTTGCTCACCTACACTGGCTGTGGTTCAGGCATGGTGGTGGAGCAGAGTCTAGCGGTTAGGCACGCAGGTGTTGGACTCCAGCCGGCGGGCTTCAGGACCCGCCCTGAGCTCCCGCTCTCACTGTGTGACCTGGGCGCGTTCCTTACCCTCTCTGAGCCCGGTCCCCTGGTATGCAGGAAGGAGCTAAAGCAGCCGCTGAGCTCACGGGCAGTTCGGCGCGGTGAGGGATGAGCGGCAGCGCGCACACACTTGTATTAGAGCCTGGAGGATGACACTTTCCCTTTCTTAGAGTCACAGGAATGCAGGTTCCCTCTCAGGGTTCTGAAAATCTCCCACTCAGCTCTCCCCGCATCTTCCCAGAGGAACCAGAGGCAAAGCCCAATGAGACTTGCACAAGCAGAGTTCGGCTGACACCCCACATTCCCTCCTTTTCCTGAAATGCTCTCTACTCTACAATATACCGATTTTATTTTAATATAAAAATGCTTCCCCTCCCCCACCCCCAAAAAACACTCTTTTTTTGGGAAAGCGCCCCGGGAGCATTCAGTGCACTGTCTGCACCACCCACAACTGCACCCCCGTGGCTGAGGAGCACAGTTAGTGAGGAACCGGAAGGCCTCCCACTGCACACAGGGGATCCGCCCTCGCTCATTATAAAATCAGCATTGCGGTAAAAGTGTGTCACTTCCACGCTAAGGGAAGGGCAGGAAACACAAAGCCCGTTCTCCCTCGGGCTGGAGACCACCGCAGTCCGTATGTACGGCGGCAGATGCCTCTGCTCTTCACGGGGCGATGTCCCGAGAGCCCAGGCACCGCCAGGCACCTCGATGTACGGGATCCCAGCGCGTGCCGTGCACTTGCCAGTTGTTTTATGACCTCATTTCATCCTCCCCGTTATCAAGTATCACCTAGGGGCCATGGGCCTGAGACAACGAAGACTTGCAAGGCCTCGGTTCCTCCACCCCACCAGCCCCACCGCCCGCGCCCCGGGAGGAACCGCAGGAGGGAGTGGGGTGATTTAGGGAGAAACCAGGGACAGAGAGAAGTCATTTGACCCAAAACATTGAGAGCCACAGCTTGCTTTTTTCTTTTTTTAAAAAAACAAATTATTTAATCAGTGAGGCACCAAAAACCTCCTTTGGAAGATGGTTTCTCCATTCCCGTCTGTCTGCAGAGAACCAGACGTCCCGCAGATAAAAGTGCAAGTGAAAACTGATCAGAAATTAAAACATTTTGGGCAACTGCCTAGAATCCTCCCAGCCTGGGCCGCCGCCCTGTTTAACCAGCATGTGCTGACTTGGTACTTTGCATGAGGGGACTGAGAAATTTGTTTACGCTGTGCATTCAGTATGCAGAAGCTGCACATTTCTCTTTACATCATGTTTCCCAAAACCATTTTTAGACTCTGCTGTCATCTCTGCAAGCTGCTCTCAGGAGTGGGGGAGGGCAGGGTGCTTCAGGGGTTTGGGCGAGGCTGGATTTCGATCCCCACTTGCAGTTCCTCTGTCCTGGTGTGGGGGGCACAGACTGGGGGAGCACACAGCCCCCCGCGCACTTGCCGCCCCCTCCACAGAGGAGACGTGGAGGCTCAGTGAGGGTAAATCACGGGCCCAAGGCCACTGTGTGCTTTTGTCCAGCTAAAACCCAGGTTTTTTCTTAAAGGGGAAAAACAAGGTGAGACGAGTGAAGACCATCTACGACTGCCAGGCGGACAATGACGACGAGCTCACGTTCATGGAGGGGGAAGTGATCGTCGTCACAGGGGAGGAGGACCAGGAGTGGTGGGTATGTACCAGGCCGGCACCCCCAGGGACCAGGGTCCTCACTTGCCCGCCAGCGTTCTCGTGGGGCGTCTTCTCTCCCCGAGTCGTGCTAGAAACGCAGGCGTGGAGCTCTGACACCGGGTCGGGAGAACGAACATGCGCCTGTGCTTTGCCCTCGTGATCGTACAACCTGCGAGCCGCAGGCATTTCCTGCTTTTTCAGATGTGAAACTGAGGCTCGAGGTTAAGCATGTGACACAGGTCGGAGGCAGGCGGTCAGCCTTCGGAAGCATCTCTGACCTCAGAGCCCGAGTCCCCGTGTCAGGCCGTCTCAGGCCAGGGGCTCCATCCTCAGTCCAGCAGTTCTGCCTTTGTAAAGTGGGGCATGATACCCTCCTCCCTTGATTTTACGGGAGTAAACAGAAATATCTACAAAAATCCCTTTTACATTAAAACCTGCTGCCCGAGTGTCCTCACACAGCTTGGAGATTCTCAGCGGCTCCAAGGGCGGCCCGACGCATCTGTGCTGTTGAGGCTGTCGGGAGTGAGCCTCCTGTGACAACCGGCAGGCCAGAGGCACCGTGGGTGGTGGCCACCGTGGCAGGTGTCTCTCCTGGCTGGGGATGCTGCTTCCTCTCAGCCTGGGTCCCACCTGCCCGGAGGGACCCGTTCTGTGTGCTGAGGAAGGGACCTGTGGTTCACAGCTGAGCCAACAGAGCCTGCCAGGGCCCGAAGCACAGGTGCACGCACACTTGTACACAAACACAAACACACGTCCACACTCAGCAGGCGTGCGTGCTCCTTTGGCTTTTCTTCCTTTGGGCCTGGAGAGCACCTCCAGACTCCTGATCACAGGTTCTGCATGGACCGAAGCAGCAGCTCAGAGGCCCGGGCAGCTTTGCCCCCCAGAGTTCCGATTGTCAGGACCTGGGAGGGTGGGTCCTCGGAGCCTCTGGCCAGTGGAAGCCAGGGGTGCTTGGGAGAGCAGGATGACTGGCCTGCAATGTGCGCAGTGCTGCAGCTGAGACATCCCGGAGGAAGTGATGAGGCCTCTCTCTCTCTCGGGGGTGGGGGCGGCCCGGCCCCAGTGGCCCTTCCTGCCTCTCCCAGGTCCAGCCAGCTCCTGGCGTGGAGCCTGCTAGAGAGCCAGGTTAGAATCACAACAAGGAAGTGGGCTCTGAAGCCCCCAGCAGGAGTCACTTTGTAGCTCTGTGGCCTCCAATAAGGCACGTCCCTCCCATAAGCTTGTTTCCTGCTCAGAAATGAGACAGGAGTAACCTGCCTCCCAAGGGTGTCCCAAGAACTCGCTTGGTGATACGCTGGTATTACTATAAACAAGCAGTGATCGGATCCTTCACTAGGAATCTGATAACAGCAGAGGGCCCAGAGCGAGTTAAGCGGAAAGTTTTCACTGATGCCTCTAGCATCCTCCTCGGTGGAGATTCTTTTTTTTTTTTTTTTTAATGATTTTATTTATTTATGCATGAGAGACAGGCAGAGGGAGAAGTAGGTGCAGGGAGCCTGATGTGGGACTTGATCCCGGGTCTCCAGGATCACACCCCGGGCTGAAGGCAGCGCTAAACTGCTGAGCCACCAGGGCTGCCCTTGGTGGAGATTCTGTGTGCCGTCAGCACATCTGCTGAGCCAGACGTGAAAATAATGCCGCCCATGCCACCAGTGATTTCCGATTCACAAATCCTCTCACGGGCAGGATGCCAACTAAGACCACCCCCCACCCCCACCCCCACCCCCCAGGTGGGTAAGTGAGGCCTTGCCGTCGGGTCCACCCTCAAGGTGAGAGAACCCTGCACGGTAGCCCAGGTGGCTGCCCAGGTGACCGCCCCGTAGGTAAAGGGAGCAGCGCAGGCTAGCCCACAGCTCCAGCTCCAGCCACCGCCGACACCACGGGGGCTTGTGGATGGAGATGGGAGCTGGCCTGGCCTGGCTCGTCAAGCCACCCTCCTGTCTATGCATCGTCACTTCCGGCCAGTACGCGTGTCCGACGCTCTCTGTTGAAGGCTCGTGAGAGGATTCTCTTAATGCAGCACCTCTCGGTCCGAGATAATTAGGAAGTCCTCGCAGGTGGCCGTGGTCATAGGCACAGACGGTGGACGGCGGAGCTGCCGCAGAGGCCACCGTCCACGTCAGGCCCTCCCCGTCTCCTTTCCCCACGGCAGCCAGGAAACAAGCCCTGGGCCAGAGCCAGCCCTTCGCATCTGCGTGATTTTTCATAGAATCTCCCAACAGGCCTGAGAAGAAAGGGTATCTTAGCCCCATTTTACAAACAGTTGGCGTCGCAAGGTTTGTGTGAGGTCACGGGGCCAGAAAGGCAGTCGCACCCCCGGGTGGGGGATGGACTCGGGGGTCTGCAGCCTGCGTGAGTGCGCAGGCGGGTTCTTCCCCCCTGTCGGGGGTGGGTGTAGACCTCAGCGGACAGGATGAGGATCCCAGGCGGGGCTGCCTCACGGGCCCGCCGTGTGTGCGCCGTGACATCCGCGTGCAAGTGCCAGAGCGGTTGTACCTTGTGTTACAACCGTACATAATACGCAGCTGACAGCAGGGCAGGGTGAGTGCACGCCCCGCCCCAGGCCTCAGGGGCCCAGTCCAGGCACGCGTGGGCTCCGTGGGGCCGCCGGCGGCCTGACGCCTGTCTCTCCTCCCTGCAGATCGGACACATCGAAGGACAGCCCGAACGGAAGGGGGTCTTCCCGGTGTCCTTTGTTCACATCCTGTCCGACTAGCAGAAAGCAGAGCCCGACGATTGTCCACATCCTCATGCGAGACTGCTGCCTGCACGTAACCCCGTGCACACGTGTGTATATAGCTGCTGTTACAGAACGAGAGACTCCCGGAAGGGCCACCTCAGGAGGGGACTCGGTGTGTGCTGTAAATACCCCGTGGGCTCCGCCCTCGCCGGTGGTGGGGGGCCTGGGCGCCCGGCACTTCCATCCCGATGCCCTTTTCCCAGCAGACAGACAAGCCCAGGAGCATAGGAGCTGCTGGCGTTGCGGAGAGAGGGTCTCCAGCAACCGCTGGGAGGCAGGGGAGCGGCTCTGTTCCTCACCAAACAGTATTCGCAACCGCGTTGCCCACAGCGCAGCCTTAGCAGAGAGGTGGGTTCTGTTGTCCAGGTGAGACTTTCAGCTCCGTGAGAGCAGCCCGTAGTGCTAGCTGGGGACACAGTTTACAGCTGCCGCAACCGACGTGGGTATTTATTACAGAGAGAAGTGCTCGGTTCAGTGTGTAAGTGTTACTCCTCCGGCAAAGTGTCCACCGACCCAAAACCTTCAGTGGCACCTCACGGTCCCCACCGCCTCGCGCAGGGTAGGCCAGGTGGCTGTATACTGTCTTCTGGCGATGCGTGCCCGCCCCTGAGATATTACCTCATTATGCAGAAATAACATATCCTTCACGACTATTTTGACAAAAGCTTAAAACGCATCTGATGAAGTTCAACTCTGAGGAACCGAGGACCGCCAGGAAACATTAGCCTCTACGTTATGCATGCATTTAGAAGCTTACCTGAGATCTGCCTTTTATAAAGGAATAGTACGGACAAGTGGAACTGTACGTTTTTTTAACTTGATCGCCATTAAAGCAGAAATTATAAGGTCGCAACAACATCTGTTTCTAGTCAGTCATTTGGCTTTCCCAGAGCGTGAAGTTCCATATCCTATCCTGAATTCGCATCCCGCACACGTGTTAAAAGCATCTGATACGTCAACTTAAATTATTTTCTTAGTCTTGTCCCCTGGTCAGTTTTAAACTCGTGAAAGACAGATTCACGAAGATGACGGATTCAAAGGTCAGGCCCCCACCCCCACCCCCCACGCTTTCCCCACCACCGAACCCGGGTGCCGAAACCAGCCTCTTCTTCCCCCGTGCTCTTGATCACGCCCCAGTCGTAGGTGAGGTTCCCGGGCTTACGCTCTGTTGCGTAGACGCGGCACCGTCAAGCCAGGTCCCAGCCAACTGCTCGGACGCCGCTGCAAGGGGCCCTGTGACCGGGCGGCCTCCCCGCAGCAAGTCTGCCTCCACGGCCTCCTGGTGCCAACACCATGAGGACGGGGTCGCGCCATCAGTCCGGGTTCTGGAAAGAACACAGTAGCCGCCCTCCCGGGGCAGCGGGGCTGCTCTCTTGATTGCCAGGCTCGTGTGTCCCTCTGGCATCACATTTGCTTAAACTGCTTTGCTGGCAACAGCACCGAGAGCTAAGAGCTCTAAGCAGCTAACCTCGGCGGCGAGAGAGAAAGGTCCATTTCACAGAAGCACAACTCCCCACCGACCCCTCGGAGAAGCCCCCGTAGCAGCGTCTCCGCGCTCAGTGAATAGTGATTTAGTTCCGCTTAAATGAGTACTATGAAAACTTCGAATAACCACCTGATAGGTAAACCTTGCATGACAAACCTGCAACACAACATCTCAGCTGTTCTGGAAAGTGATGTTACGCAGTTATCGCCCGTGGTGGGGGGGACCCCGTGAGCTCCCCGCACAGAAGGCGGGCGTCGGGGAGCCCTTCCCGGGACGTCTGCAGCCCCTGCTCGCAGGCCGCGCTGGTGTCAGGACAGGAGGTCTCTGTCCGGAGTGACTTAGGGCCCTGGTTCATTCAAGTACACATTTTTAGTTGCGTTAAAGAACTATTCGTTTTCGTGGCCTACCGTATTTCCAGCTGATCTCAAAATAAACTGGCTTTTCTAAAAAAAAAAAAAAACTCAAAACCTAGATGTCTAAAATTACATGGAGTCATTGTCTGTTCTTCTTTTCTTCTTTTGCAACAACTTTACACAAATGCATTTTTTTTTTTAATGCCTCCCCGCCCCGGTTTTGTTTTTGTTTTCATGAGGAATCTGAGTTCTCTCTAACCCAGCTTACTGCGGGACATAGGAAAGCTAGGTATAAATACCTTTGGTGATCTCGGTCGGGTGTGAGTCTGCTAAGTGAACCACGATCTGCAATCTTGTACATGATATAGTATTTTGAAGGTTATGGAACCTTATGAAAAAAAAATAGTTAATTAGTTCCTTTTTTTCCCCCAGAGGGGAAAGTTACATTCTGCAAATAGTCTGTATCTTATTTTACTGTTGAACAGCAATTGCTATTTATTTTTTTATTGCCTAGAACTTCTACATGTTGTGTAGGGATCCCGTAGCGCCACCAGGTAAATTCCAAACTCTCATCTGGATGTTACCACCAGACATCAGTACGCTTGTCATTTCACATGTATTTAATGTGACTGTTTTTTCAGTACTGTATGTGTTAATTTCTACTTTTTTTAATATTTAAAATTGCTTTTAAATAAACATATTCTCAGTTGATCCCAAACATCTGAAATCAAACCATTTTGTGACTTGTCCACTGTGTTCCATGTGGAGAGAAGCAAGACTGCTTGGCTGTGCTTCGTGGGGGGATGGATAACACATCAGTCCAGCTCCTGTGTAAAAGCTCGCTTTGGATTCATAAAAATGTCCATTGCGTTCCTCAGCTTGCAAAACATAGATCTCAGCATTTTGGCGTTTCCCGCCCCCCCCATTCTTACACCCACTCCATGTGAAGAGGGAGGGCGGGGGTAGTCCCGGTGGCTCAGAGGTTTAGCGCCACCTTCAGCCCAGGGCGTGACCCTGGAGACCCCGGATCGAGTCCCACGAGAGGCTCCCCGCATGGAGCCTGCTTCTCCCTCTGCTTGTGTCTCTGCCTCTCTTTCTCTCTGTGTCTCTCATGAATAAATAAAATCTTTTTTTTTTTAAAGAGGGAGGGCAGGGAGCAGCCCCAGGGCCAGGGGCTGGACCTATATGACCTCATTTACCCCTCAACCCATCAAGAAGCACATGTGCACCCCTCCACTTTACGGAGCCCGAAAACGAGGCTCAGACCCAGAGCTCACTGTCACGTGGGAGGTGCCATGGCTGGTAAAAGACCAAGTCAGGAGTCTAAAAGAGTGGGTCTGGCACCAAGGCTGTGCTAGAAAGTTCCTAGTCGCATTGCCAAGTTCCAGCCAGAGGCGCAGAGGTGGGCAACGCCCGAGGCTACAGCACTGAAGCCCCCGAAGCGTTTGGCATCCTCCAGTTCCCTGCCCTGAGCTTCGGTGGACGCGGTGCTGGTCACACACCTGGGCCAGGTAAGCCCGCCCAGCCGTGCTGCCGGGCAAGTGGGCTTTGGCCTGGGAACCAGTGACTCACGGGGTATTTCTGGGACGGGCTAGTGGAATCCTCTGGATCATTCAGGCAAAGGGGCAGCAGCTTTCTCTCTAATCCGTGTTGCACTGGTTCCGTTGGTTCTGTATTATTGTAAACCTGGGACGGTGTCTGGTGGAAACTACAGACCTGTCGCCGTGAAGCGCTGGGAGCCGTGGACGGCCCTCCCCCAGCCATGCTGGAAACCGGAGGAACCTCTCATCTCCGGGCTCTCGGGCCTTTGAGGCCTAGATGGTGGATGAGCCCGCTTCCTGTGTGTGCATTTGGTCCTCCATGGGCGAAAATCCTCTTGAGGCACGTCTGCCTGGCTCAGGGTCACTCATGGTGGCACGGTGACCCCAAGTCCAGGTGGCCTCAGCAGCAGCCTGCGCCCCCCTCCCCCCCGCCTGCTCGATTCTCCTCTAGCCCACACCGCGTCGTCACCCAGCACGGGTGGCAGGGGTGCATGGAGGAGAGACGGTACCTACAATTCGACCTCCGCTGCTCCCCACGCGCGGGTGTTCTCATCCCTCCCGGGTGGAATCTTCTTCCCCGGGGTCTGCAGGATCAGCTAATTCTGAGCTGACAGGCTCCCCTCTCTGCAGATGAGCCTCGGCTGCCCCTGTGCCCACCCCGGTCGAGGCCACCTATCTGAGCGTGCAAGTTCCCCAAACACTTTGCATCAAGAGGCTGCCGCCTGTGGTTGCAAAGAGGAGCCTGTGGGGAGGCGGGGAGACGGGGTTGGAGAAGCACTGGTCATTTTGGGGGCTCCCTCTCAACGTGGGGAGCTTGCTTGGGGTCAGCAGTTTGCCCTCCAGCTGAAGCCCCCCTCCCCTGCTGATGGGGGGGTGAAGGCAACGAGCTCACAGCGCAGGCTGGGGAGAGAGTGCTCCTCCCCTGCAATGGCCGGAGGGGCCCCCAGAGTGGTGGGCACCCCCACTTGCACGGTGACCCCTCACCTGCCCTGAGCCTCTGGACTGGTCTCCTCCCCGCCTTCCAGGTGAGCAGGGCAGGGATCTGACTTGAACCCCAAGCTCAGGGCCCGGGTGGCCACCAGCCATGACCCGGGGCTGTCTGTATGTTGCTACTGGGCTCCCTGGCTGCCCTTTCTGAAGGGAAATTGAGTCAAGGCCAGCCGGCCCCAGCCCCCTGTGGACACATCGCCTTCGGGAGCTGGGAGCCGTGAACCAGCAGGGGGTTGGCCTGCGGAGGGCCGCCCGGGGAGCATCCTTGCAGCTGCTCTGCGGCAGAGCCAGAGGTGGGGCTGGCGCGGGGTCCCGGTGAGTTTCGAAAGGGCGGCAGGCAGCAGCGAGGGAGCTGGCCTCCGTGAGCACAGCAGCCCCGTGTGCAAGCAAACGTCAAAACACTCAAGCTCCTGAAAACAGGAATTAAAGCTCAGATAAACACAGCTGTTTTGCAAAAATCTTACCACACAGCAAAAACCCTAGACTGGGGCTCAGAAGCCCAAAACTTTGACCTTCTGCAAAAGCGCCCTGGGAGAAGCCGTGCTGGGCCGCGCTGGGCTTCCTGCTCCCATGGACAGAATTTTCAGTGCCGCCTTACAGTTCCCAGCAGATCTGAGAACAGAGATCGCACATGTGCCGTCTGCACGCTGGCCTGAAAATACGTTAGGGCCAGCTCTTCGGGCTTGCACTAGCATCATCTGGGGACCTCGGGTTCAAGTCAGACTCGGGGGCCCTGTCCTCAGAGACTGAGAATCTGAGAACCGTTCTGAGTCTCAAGAGGCGGCCCAGGAATCTGCAGGGAGCCAGCATCCCCAGGTGACCCCCCTGCACGGCGGTGGGAGGTGGGCACACCTCACTTTCCCCAGTGACAGGTGAAAAGTCAAACAAACGTACGCCAGGCTTGACAGGCGGTTGGTGCCTAAATGTTCCTTGAATGAGCGATTGCACAAAACCTGGCAAAAGCACCCGCCGGAAGGGGGTCAGGTTAAAGGGGAAGCATCTGGCTTTCAAAGGCCTGGGGAGCACCCGCCCCAGTGAGGGCCGAGGCCCCGGAGCCTCTGATACACATTTGCTCTGCCCACTTGCACTGCACATTGCTGACTCCCACCCAGTAAACAGGCGCCTGGACAATGGTCCTCTTTTTGTGGCCGCTAAGCCGCGGGACAAAGATTCACAAGAATGCATTGTCCGAATGTGCGGGCTGAGTTCCTGCTCGGCGGGTCCCCTTAGAAAACTCCGAGCAGGACTCCCCTGGCCGCTCCGCCCCCGATGCCAGGCAACTGCGGCTCTCGGGTCGGGTCAAGGAGGAAGGCTCTGGAAGGTCTGCAGCAGGTGCCCCCAGGCCTTCCCGCCTTCCCTTCCACACTGGGCCGGTGGCCTGGGGTTCCCTTTCCCCCTAAAGCCAAGGCTTCGTCTGGTCCGGCCCGAAGGGGAAGATGCTGGGGTGGGCGAGCCAGCTTGCTAGGAGAGGGGAAGATGGGGGAGT